GGGGGGGGGGGCTGGTGCAAATGGAGAGGGGGTCATACCTTTTTGTGCACTTGAAAATGGGCGGTTGCATAAAATTCTGCAACCATTTTTGGGGGTCATATATTTTTATGCATTCCATTTTCCTATATATTCTACAAAAGAAAACAGCACTGAAGGGATCAACCACAGTCAAATTTTTAATATTTATATGAAAACAAAACAACAAAATCTGGTACAGTATATAACGGTTCTTCTCGTGTTGGAAAAATATTAATCTATTACTCTGTGTCAGTGTTCTCTGTTTCACTGGTGGAAGTATTGGTGCTGCTGCTGCTGCTGCTTTCACAGATTAAGGGCAAATACTCTTTGACAACTCCGCAAGCTTTATCACTTATTAGCTTTCTGTCCATCATTTGCTTTAGCCAGTAAATTTGGTTTCCTTTCAATGACATAAGAGCATTGCCATTGACTTCTTGAATTGGAGTCTCACCATTTATAGACAGTAGTTTGGAGATTGCATCAAAATTTTCTTCTTCTCGTCTGGCTTTTCTCTTGTGTGCCTTTCTCTTATTTTCCTTTTTTGAACGCTTTGTTGATTTAAACTTCAGAATGTGTCCTTGAAACATATTCCTGCATTTGCTTTCTTCATTCTGTAAATGTTGAATGTTAATGATAATGTTTCCCCTGAGCACCGTCAGAATTGTGATTTTTTCCTCATCAAATCTTTTTGGCTTCCTTTTCCATCTTTAAGCTTTCCTGACTTGTTATACAGGCTGCTCAGGTGACCTTTGATATCTTGCTCTTCCTTCTCAACTTGTTCTCGTACTTTAACAAGCATTTTTATATTCTCTCTTAATATCAATTGGTCTGATGGTATGTAAACATATTGCTCATTGAAAAACTTCCCCGCTGCGGCAGGATTCATGTTGCTCAATATGGCATCAACAGTTGAGGACAACTTTGAAACACGTTGATGGCTTTCATATTGCCGTCTTCCCTCGCTGTGAAATAGCTTCACAAATTCACGAGTATTCTTACACTTGCTATAACATGCCTTGTAGAAATTGGGCAGCACTGCATTCATGAACTTTGCTCTTTCCGTTTTTGGGTTTGGTATCCAGCCATATTTGGTCTGCGCCCAAAGTTGTATATTTTTACTACTTGGTCTTTGAAATTCAATACCCCCAACACATAATGTCTGACAACTTGTAGAGGGAATTGTTGTTGTGCTACCTTTTTCCTTATTTGGATCACCTCTCTGTGGTTTTGGTGTCAAGTATTCTTTTGTCTTTCTAAAAAATCGTTTCACTTCAACTTTGGACATACCTATAAAGAGGAAAATATTAGAATATAAACATGAGTGAGGTGACAATGCAAAATTACACTATGCCAGCACGTTCAAACCTCAGCTTTATAAAACTTCAAAGTACTTCAAAGTTCAAACTACGAAAAGATATATTTACCTATTTCATTCAGGTCACATTCATCAACATCTTGAAGATGATCTAATTTTATAATCCCTTCTCTGTATAGTCCCTCTTGGAATTGCTGTAGATCAGCAAATTCTAGGAATTCTTGCAACGAGTCGTCTTTGTTGTCGTCTTTGTCCGCAATTTTGGATTTTCTAACTACACTGAACGGAGGAGTACTGGGAACAAACGTCCCAGTCCTCCTGTGGTTCAATTACAAAGGAATTGCATATTTATAAACATGGAGGATATGGAAATTAACAGGAGTAACCCAGAGAAGGAAGTAGATATTGAAGAGAAAGACAAGAATATAGCTTTTCGTTCTCTGCAATACGAAGCAAAGCAAGATCTGAGTCATGTGTAGGAAAACACCTTCGCAGCTCGCTCCAAACATGTAAAGCAAGAAACAGCTTAGACAAGCTAGAGGGATTGCTAAAATGTACTAAAAGCAAATCACTGGGCAACACATTGAATGGCTTGATTTATATATTGAATCAACTTTTGGTGCAAAGTAAGCATTCGAGCAATGCAATTGGTTTTATTTCCTTTAAAGATTCTTATGGGCTGTATTGTGGCTTCTTTGATAGTGCTCCTGAAGAAGCTTCGTTCCGTGATCATTTACTTCATGAAGATCATGGATTATGTGTTATTATAACTGTAGTGTTTGGATAACGGTACATTTTATTAAAAAATGTAGAGGTTAGTGTCCAGGACTTCTTTTTAGAATTCGATAAGCTGTCAGACGAAAATGCAATGAGTAGTTTAAAAGATCAGCGATTTCCTCTTGATTCTAAATCTCTAAACAAGATTTTGAACTCAATTGACACAGAATATGACCGTATGGCACTAAAAGCTGTTATATTTGCGCTTCATTCAAGATCTCAAACATATAAACTGGGAATCAAGCCAGACAGAGCAGTCAAGTTTCTTTCCAAAGTATTGACTGTCGCAAATGAAAGCGAGAATGCATTAAAGACAGCTGAAGAACTTTTGAAGCTCAGAACACACGAGAGAGTTGAGAATGTGGAGAAAAAGATTCAGCAGCTTGATACGAAAATAGATAAACCATTACTTTCAGAAAGGCGGAAGTGCGAACTTGAAGGTGAAAAAGATGCCTTAAAAGAAAGGTTAGCTAACTTGAAAGAGTTAGAAAAAAATGAAAGCTCCTCTTCACAAAGGAAAACACAACAAAGAAAACGGAAAATTGCTCAAGATCTTATAGCTAACAACAGACTAAAAAAAAGAAAGTTAGGGGCAGGAGCACCACAACTGCTGGATTCAGAAGACGAAACCGTCATAGCCAAGGCAATTTCAACAAAAAGCACCTGCCACGGAAGACGACATGAAACTACACTTTTCACAAACCACCGCGTAAAGAAAAGAGACTTTCTTCATCTCGCTAACTACTCTTTAATGAAACGTTGTAAAAGACTGATAAAATCAGCAACCAGAGTAGGAAATCGGGGAAAGGCCAAAATTATCAGGTCTATTGCTGCCAAGTCACACGTTGGAAAGTGGCTTTGGTGTAGTAAAAAACTCCGGAAAACAGAAGACCATGACACAGTAAGCACACATCATCAACGTGCTCATGTTTTGAATGCGAAGCTCACAATGTTTTCTGAAAATCAAAAAGAGCATAGTCTTGTTGTGAGCATGGATGATAAGGCGTATTTACGGCCAGGCACAGATGTAGGAGCGAGAAATACGAAAGCTGGTGTGATATATAATGTCTGTGATCCTGATGAGCAGAAACAACTGCCCCAGCACGATTTTAACATTCCTCAAGTAAATCAGACTCCTGCATCTTTCCGCTGTATTAAGAAGCATATTGAAACTATCCAAGGAAAACATTAATTAATAAGCGACCAAGATCAAAGCTTGGTCATCATTAGTCCCAAATATTACATTGGGAGTAGCGGTAGCATGTGGGCCTCAGATGACATGCGCTTATGCTACGAAGTCCCCCAACTCTTTCAAGAGAATTCACAGAACAATGTTTTAAGTAAGGAGATGCAAAAGCTAGCTATTCGCTCCCATGATGCTGTGTATTACTTTACTGATTTGACAATCGAAGAAGATGTCATGCGCGTTACTACTGAAACGGATTGTAAGCACTACTGCTATGAACAGGAAAAACTCATTTGGCTTCAAAATCAAATTAGCAATATCTCAATCCAATACCAAGATGTTGCAGCAGAATCTGAGCAAGAAATCAGGAGTAAATTACTGGAAAACCTCTCTAACCTTCGGGAAAAGGCAACATCAGTACAAACGCAAATGTTAACGCATGTTCGACAAGGAAAGTTATGGGAGGAAACTAAGGACATCTTAAGTGACTGTCAGCAATATCTCAATGATTTAGACCATTTGAGACGTCCCAAGATCTGCTGTAGCATCCTCAAAACTACTGATGCAGGCCCTGGAGTCGGCGTAAGTAACATTGAAGCTCGTTTTAGAGATGTTGAAATCGCGAGAATACACTCATCAGACCGTGTTAATAGAATTCATCGTGCTCCGGGAGACTCTTCTCAAAACGAGTCCGAGAGATGCCCTAGTAGATGGGACAGCTTTAAAATGGGATTATTTTAGGCCCTTTGATGGCCTCACAAATGATGAGATCAAGAAACTATCTGCAACACAAGTGAAAGAAATAGAGGCGATTTGTATGGAGAAGAATGCGTGGGAAGTGGCTAAACAAGTGACAGCCATGGTCGACGATGAACCTGGCCCTGGTAAAGATTATATGAAATGCTACACAACTACAACATTGAATTATCAGTTCTTTTTTAACAAATCGTATCTCATGAAGTATGCAAATGCTAAAACAGATACTGCAAAACGTCATGTTCCTGGATACCACTACTTTAAGAAGATATATTCATTTATGGATGAACACTGTATCATTGGGGAGATGTTCCTTGAATATCTTAAAGGAGCCTGTAAAGAAAATGGGGAAAGTGGAACACTTTGTGACTTTTGCAGCACAAACAAACAATGCTGTGATGAGATTGATCATGTTGCAAGGCCATTTCCCAATAAAGAAAGTGATGGGCAACATTATCTTCCTTTGTCTAAAACACCAGCAAAAAACAGAGACATTGACGATTACATGCCACAGGTACAGCTAAAGGCAGCATACACATCAGGTCAATGCTGCTTAGATGATCCAACTAGCATCTCAACATTTTCCAGAAAGTTTGTTGTGGCAGAGGGATGCGTGAAAAACTATTTGAAATTGCTGAATCTTAAGAAAGATAAAAGAAAAAAGGAAAGATTAGCTAAAAAGTCAGCTGAGGCAAGTAAGACATATCATGAGTATGATTGGAATGGAATGTTCAAAGATGGTTCTCTTAGTAAGCAGACGAAAGCAGTTCTTGATAAGTACTTGAAGCAGCATGGACTTCACGTTGCTTCAAACAAACAAGGGATGGTGATGGAGGTTCAGAGACACATTATTGAACAACAAATACAAGACTCTACGGAAGAAGAGGAAAACCCACCATGCAGTAGTGAAGATGAAGAAGAGTACTTGTCTTTTGATGAAGAAAACGATGAAAGAGACTATGTGCTTGCAGAGATTGGCTCGAGTTCACAAGAAGATGAAGACGATGTTCAGATCACAGTGACAACTACAAGATCTGGTAGAAGGGCTACTCGCTATTTGCTTTGAATAGTTAAGTAAAATATACTTGTGTCGCATTATCAATGTTATAAATATTGTAACTGAGGGAGGGCCATGCCATTTCATGTGCACTCCCTTGGGGCGCCACATTATTTTATGCAGTGACAGGAGCAGGGCCATATGAAATTATGTTGAGGAAAATGAAAATCCACCAGCCCATCCCCCACCCCCCTCTAATAAATGACCGGTCCCTAAGAGCTGAGCATTTCAGACTACTGAGAATACAATGAGCAAAATTGATGGTTGTAAACTTACAGTTGATGTTTTTAAGTATTGTTGATCTTTATAGACATCTCTGGCCAATCCAAAGTCTGCAATTTTTGCTACATATCCCCGCCCAAGTAAGATATTTCGTGCAGCCAGATCTCGATGAATTATCTGTACAGGAATAACAGGGAAAAAAGATTCGAAAAATATTTATATATATGTTTACACAACCTTGCCAACAATGATAGGTTGTTAGCCTCAAAAGACAATATGACAAACATCTTTTAGTTAATAAATGGTAATGGTAATGGCAATGTAATTTAGTTAAGTTCAAGTTCACTCTACAAAATAGATGAAATCACAAGTCTATATCGATGGTTCTATTTAAATAACTAGAAAACAGGGGCGTAGGAACCGCGGGGTGGGGGGGGGGGTGTGCCCCCCCCCCCAATTTTTCCAAAGGACTAAAAGTACCCTTTTTTGTGACTGAAAAGTGCCCTTTTTTGTGATGAAGAGTGCTCTTTTTGTACAAGCTAATGTCGCTGTAAACTAAGGGCCATTCCATTTAATGTCCACACCCCCCCTACGGATGAGTTTTTCTCAAGGGTGACTCAAAAAGTCGTTTCTGAGGGGTTAAGCCTGTCGGCATCCTTTGATCTCTGCGATTTTTCTGAGGGGTAAGGGAAAATTTACAAATTTCTGAGGGGTGTTTTGTGTCGGCACTTTGATCTTTTTTTCTTAGGGGTTAAAATTTTACTGACCTCATCCGTAGGGGGGGTGTGGATATTAAATGGAATGGCCCTAAATTAACATCAAAGGTGCCCTTTTTGTTTGGAAATTTCCAAGTTTTTTTAAAAAAAATTGGTCAAAAACGTGCAATTTCGGTATTGTACGACGGAAAAAATGTTCTTCTTCCCCCTTCCCCCATCCGTCACCAACATGTCCGTGAAAATTTTTTTAGGTGCCCTTTTCAATACCCTAAATTGCCCCTAGAAGCCGGTGCCCCCCAATATTTTGATGCTTCCTACGCCCCTGGTAGAAAATACATGCATGCAGAAACCACGCGCCTAGCTGACAAAACCATTGTATTTTCCGAACATGAAGTATTTAAACTAGTTGTCATGGTTACACGATAATTTTGTAAAGAATATTTTTACAAATGAAAAATCTCCCTAAAAATATCAATTTCAATTACAAAAATATCAATTCCCGAAACAAATATATGTTAGGTATGTAATATATTATATGTATTATAAGCTTCAATTGAAGGTAAAATTCAACCTCAAACGCTTCGCAAGACGTTATAAAATGTTCTTTATAAAACTAAACTGCCTTTTTCGAAGAACTTTGAGTTTGAAATTAAATTATTTCAAATTCTCGCATTGAAACCACTTTGTTTTCTTTTTCATTTAAAATATGCGCAACAAGTCAGCTTTAAAGCCGTTATAAAGCGAACAATAGATCAATATTCAAACAAACCTACTTTCGTTAACGTCAGCGCCTTTACTTCCCCCTTCTTTTAGCAATTCTTTCGCCGATATTTTCATAAAAAGCTTTTAAAATTCACAAAGTCTTGTAAAAATGAAATATATTTGCAAGAAATCATCAAATGAAGAAATGTTTACTATTTCGCTGTCGTCACACAGTCGTTATAATTCAAATTTTAAATTTGACCAATCACTGGTGTTCGCTATTCGTTACGGTCCGCCATGTTTTTGAGATCAGTGAGGATGACCACCCACCGAAACATCGTTGGTTACCCACGATCATGCCCGAGATCATTGATGAACTTAAAACTTAGCTAATGCGTTTGTTTTCCCTGGTGTAAATAGGCGGGCGGAATTATACCCTCGCCCCGCGCATACGCCCGGAACTGCGCTCCGCGTGAACAAAGGTTCAAAAATGTTCCCTGACAAACAACAATTAAGTTAATGTTACCACTACAAGTAAAATTAAGATCTAAAAATTTTATCTCATTCTCATTATTTATATAAAAAATGTTCCAAATATATTTTTTAATTACACCTTTTGTCGCTCGCCTGTTGCAAAATTTTGGGCCCCATTAAACTGGGGGCCAGGGTCAAATTGCCCCTTTTGCCCCCCCCCCCCCTCCCTTGGGAAGTCCTGGAAATATTGCTTCAACAAACTATGGTGTGTATTAATAGATACAGAGCTTCCTAATACAGTTTGTTAATTCATTTGAAAAATTCTCCTTACATCAAAATAATGACAAATTGTGCTCAGCGTTGTGCTCAGCATTGTGCTCAGCATTGTGCTCAGAATTCTCCTTACATCAAAATAATGACAAATTGTGCTCAGCATTGTGCTTGTGCTCAGCATTGTGCTCAGCATTGTGCTCAGCATTGTGCTCAGCATTGTGCTCAGCATTGTGCTCAGCATTGTGCTCAGCATTGTGCTCAGCATTGTGCTCAGCATTGTGCTCAGCACTGTGCTCAGCATTGTGCTCAGCATTGTGGTCATCATTGTGCTCAGCATTGTGCTCAGCATTGTGCTCAGCATTGTACTCAGCATTGCGCTCAGCATTGTGCTCAGCATTGTGCTCAGCATTGTGCTCAGCATTGTGCTCAGCCCGAACGAGCTATCCGTACGGGTCTGAATTCACTCCGGCACTTCTTTCAATTTATGCCTGCGGTCTACCGCAAACATTGGCAAAATCTGATACATATAGTGTGCGTACAGGTTCTGGTCAGTTACTAGGGTCAGGTTACCAGGATGGGGAAACTTTACCTTTCTTGAGGTCAAAAATGTCATTCCTTTTGCAATTTGCCAAGCAACATATATTAAATTTTTTGGACCAAACTCTAGGGAAAGATCTGGATCGAAAGATTCTTTCTCAACGCTGTACCGATTCTGATTGTTTTGTAAGAATTCTCGAAGATTTCCATTTGGACAATATTCCATTATTATCCAAAGGTTTGAACTTTTGCCTAAGGAAAAATAGTTTCGAAATTACTATGGGAACTGTAGGCAGTTTTCAATCTTGTTTTGCGAAGGACATCGAGTAATTTGATATGATTTGATTCATGAAGGTGAAGTTTATAATGTTCTTTATGAACCATTATATAACGGCCAATACCAAAATGACATGGTATTGGGGCTAGCTAATTCCCACAATATAAAAAGCTAGTATCCAAACATTTTTCTAAAGAAACAACATTCACTAACGGATCATTTTTCTAAACAGAAAACTTCACTATTCATTGGCACGTAGTTAGTCGAGTTAGAAACAGTTTGAAGAAGACTACGCCCACCGTCAGGTCACTGAATACTGCATTTTTTTAATTATATGTTGACAGGAATAAAATTTAATCATGTATAAAATTGTAAAACTTCAAATGTCTGAAATAAATCACTGATGAAATGTAAAGCAGCAAAAACACCAAATTTCAATGATCGTCCCAGTGCAGGAAAGACTCAATGTTCATCAAATTAAATATTAAAATTGCTTAATTAATTTGATCTTTGGTAGTTAATGCATGAGTAGTTTGATTAATTTGATCTTTGGTAGTTGCCGTCTTGACCTTTGGTACTTGACGTCTGCGAATTCGAGACGCGTCTTCAACTTTCCAATTATTTCCGGGAAACCATTGATTGGCGAAAACAGCTCTTTGTACTTGAAAGTTTAATTTTAAGACAAATTTCATTGTCGACAAAATCAAAGGAGACTTAATTATTCATATTCATATAAATTTTAATAAATTTGCAAAATTTTAAGACAGTTTCAATTTTTGACACATCCTCTACAAATTACAAACAGGTGTAGGGTTACTAACCTTTTGTACAAGCACCTAGTATATTTACAATATTTTCATTTTCACCAACATGAATTAAAATCTTTAATTCGGACTGCAAGTCAGCCAGGTCGTTTCGATCAAAATTTTCTGCAACATTTAAATAACAATCAGGTTTAGATAACAAATAGGTTTCATCAAACGAACTGCGTCATTGTTGCCACCGTTGCCGTTCTTCTTGTGAACTATCTATAATTAGTTTTTAACCCTCCGGTTCGTCACAGGTGCTTCGGATCGTCAGATCCAAAACTGTAGCGGTATAAATGTTCGCTTAACAGTTTTTCATGCTTGTATATGTAGTTTTTTTGCAGATAGCCAAAAAAATTTGCAGTTAGTCCTGCGTGGTCCAAAGGTGCCCGCTTCGCTTGAAGCTTGCAAATTGCAACAGTGAACCGGCCACCAGAAATTTTTTTTTGAGTTATGTTTCATATTAGTAATCGTAACAATAATTTTGTAAATTAATTAATTTGTAAAAAGGTAGAGTGCCTCGCATGGGACTTCGAGTCCCGTTTGCACTCGTGCCGTTGGGTATGTCTTGTTTTACTGTCCAATAAAGTTTACAATATATTGTCAAAATTTTCATATATCAAGCCGAAAAGATTAACGTCTGATTAATAAAATTTGGCCATACAACAGGGGCCGGTTGTGATTAAAATTAATCATGGTTAAGTGCAAACGTCATCCAATAAGAAGCGCCTATTTGAGATTTAATCACTATTTAACTACAACGTAGTGATTAGCAAAGTGATTAAGAGTTTTATACAACCGGCCCCCGGAAATTAGTCAAATCACACAGACGCTCGTTAGTTTAATATTTGTATTTTAGGCCTACTATAATGAAATGAAATTTGACAATCCTTGTTGTTATTGTCTACAGCAGGAAACACATGGGGCTCGACTGGCCAGCGTTTTACACCCAGTAAAAATAGTAATTCTTAATGTAATAATATTCAATGAATGGAAACTTGCATTTATAGTCCTGCGTGGTCCGAACATGCCCGCGGTTTCGCTTGAAACTTGCAAATTGCAACAGGGGACCGGCCACCGAAGAAATTTTTTTGAGTTATGTTTCATATTGTCAACATTTTTATATATCAAGCCGACAAGATTGTCGGCTGATGAATAAAATTCGGCCACAAAACAGGAAATTAGTGAAACCACAAAACGCTTGTTAGTTCAATATTTGTATGTTACTATTACGAAATGAAATTTGACAATCCTTGTTGTCATTGTCTAGGGCACGAAACACATGGGGCTCGACTGGTCAGCGTTTTAACTAGTATTACTTAATGTAATAATATTCAATGGAAATGAAAAAAGCTGACAACACGACTGTTCGAAGAAAATTTTCCTCAAATTTTACGTTTTTTGATGACATCATTTCGATCAATTTTCGTCATTTTGAGTACGAATTTTATTAAATACGGTCGGTATTAAAATATTGCAAAACGTATTCGGCAAAATTTAAAAACTTTCTACTTTACTTATGCATGTATATAAGACATTCTAATCAAGGATTGCAGTTACTTCAAGCACTTGCAGGTAGCGCCGCTACCAAGACAGTGCATGCATACAGTAATTACATTATAATGCACGCACATTAGCCAATCAAATTACGTGTTATATCCCATATATATTATATTATCAGTAACATAGTTAATAACTCGGCATTAATTTTTATCTTCTTTCTTGTCCAGTAATAGTAAGGAGGTGAACGCAGTTACCCCACGAAAACCTGCAGGATTTGGCCTAATCATATACGATATACAGAGGCGAAATTATATTCCGGCAGACAACGGCATTAATACGGAAAATGAACTTGTGTGGTCGCGCCAACGTACATGCACTCCATGACCATTTTTATATCAGATACTGTAGCCTATGTATGTATGTATTTCTCAGATTTTTTTACGACGAATGAATTATCGGCAAGTAGCCTAGATTCTTAAATGCAAGCAGTAATCTAATAAAATATAGCTAGATACTGCACAAAATTTTGAAATCAAACCTTTCATCGTTTTAACTGCAACTTCGGTTACTTCTTTACAAAAGACATAACTGTTTCTTTTCGTTGTGCGATTGAGCAAAGTAAACCTTTGTTCGCCTTCTCTTTCTCTCAACATGTTTCTTGGATGAAATGCAGATATACCAATTGCTTCCGCTAACCAAACAATTCCAAATTGTCCAGAGCCAAGTTCCCTGGCTGAAATATATTTTAAATTATTTTGTAATCTATTTAGAAAATGATTATCTTTGAGGCTAACTACAGCCAATTTGCTCATACGAAGATGTTGGATGGGAAAACGGAAAGATTCCAATCAATGGCAAACGCTGCTTATATACGAAGTATATGGAAGCACCCAAGAACTGCTACTGGTTATCTGATATATTATTTGCTTATTTGTGGTCGAAAGGAATATGTAACAGAATACAAGGCGACATCCTAGATTACATAATTAAAAAGTTTGCTTCGTTTTGAATGTATTTTATTCCGAATTACAAAACGTGGATGTTCACTCTTGGTTGATTATTGTATAAAAATAAATTACCTACCAAAGCTAATCCTTTCCCTTGGAAATTCCCATTCTGGTATAAACGGCAGTTTGTGAAACTGTTCTTGAATATTTCCATTTCTATTTATCCTCTCGATGTAGTCAGGTAAATGAGGATATGAAAACAGGTAAAACCCGCCATAAATTTTCTTTCTTCTGTACAACACAAAACCCGCCACGACCACAATTATCATGGATATCAATCCAGTTGGAAGAACGATCAAGATCAGTGTGCGTTTCTGGTCAGATGAATTTGGGTTAGGGATACCTTTTTGGGAAAAAAATTAACTATTGTTAATAAATCTTTGTTTAGCTGCTACATCGTAGTGTCCCAATTAAAAGATTATTTTAGGGTGAATTCATCTCAACTGAGGATATCAGCAGTTCACCTCCTTAATATTAAGCATATGCTAACATATGCTTAATATTAAGGAGGTGACTGCTGATTTATTTAAAATATAGTTTATACAAAAAATTTTAATTTGCAGGTAGAATGGACGATGAAAGATTGAAAACTGCAAAATAACAATCATTGCGTGACTGACTCAAAAATTAATTAGGTAATTTTATACCCCAATTTGAAGCTTAATTATTTTGTTTATAAATAGGCCGTCAAAGTAAAGCAGAAGAAAAAATGCAGGAAAATTCGTCACTGTGCCCAGAATGCCAAGTTCTTTGCTGTTGTTTTTTCTTGTCATGACGTGTGAGCGGGTCCATGGATCTGCTATAGGAAACACAGAGTAAACTTGAGATAATGCCGCATTTGCTCATATTTACGAGCAAATGCGGCATTATCTACAAGTTTACTCTGTGTTTCCTATGGTGGTAAATCCAATTTTTCGTGCAGTGGGAGGCATTGTTTTGGGTAGGTCGTTCTCAGTTTGCATGGTGGTAGGAAATATACATTTTTTATTGGTATCGGTGGATTTGGAAATAAGTTAATGAAGCTGCAGACGTAGCAAGCATCCCAGATCAAGGTAAGGGAGAGAGGTGTTGAGGTTCCCAGGACAGGAGACATCAAAACTTAGTTGCCCTACTATTATGGCGTTTGAAGTCTTGCTCGCTCGATAAAATAAACATATATAATCTGGAATCTCGACACCGGACTTTTCCACATTATGGAAGATTTTTTTAAAGACTAGAAATGCATGCATGCAGAAATCCTCGCTATGCTGACAAAACCATTACTATAAACATTACTATAAACTAATAATTGCCTGTATTAAAATATTCTATTAAACCCAACCAAGCATGAATAATAATACTCCTGTAAAAAGGTATCAAACTGATTAATATTAATAAGTTTATCTTCTGAGAAATTTGATACCTTTTTCACAGGCAAATTTCTAAAACAATAGGTTAATTTCTAAAGATATTTTTTTATACACTCTGTTCAGGTTAGGCGTGAATACAGGGTGTATTGAAAAACGAGGCCTTATAAGTACCTCTATTCATGTTAAGTAAAAGATTTTCTACTTCTGGGAATTTAAAATTGCTTCTAGTATTATAAAACGAGAGTGACTGCACAAAAATGATCAAATTACTAATCAGTTACACCATCATGCAGGTCGAGCAAAAACGATTCAACTGTCCAGGGAGGAACGAGTCTTTATCGTCTTTTAAAATTATGCGCAGGCGCAAAGTACAGCCGCAGTGCAAAACACTTCGTTACATTAATCAAAAGAGTTTAAGGAGGCTGCCTGCAGTTTCCAATATATATAAGTGTTTTAAACTAAAAGCTATTTGAATCTTATATAAAAAAAGGTAATTAAAAGTTTTTATATAAAAAAGTAATTTTAACCCAGAATCGCTATACTCTTCATGTTACCATGCCAACATTACGCCACCAACTGTATATAGTTGTGAAGTTTTGAATCTTTTTTGAACTAATTTATTTGAAAATCGCCAGTGTAGTTTTCGATCGAGAGAAACTGAATTTCAGCCTTTCCAAAAGGCTAAATGCAATCTTAAATTCAGTGTCTCGAAAACTACACTGGCGATTATCAAATAACTTTTCAAAAAGATTCAAACTTCATAACAATGTATTTTGGGCAATAAAAAAGGTAGGTCACCGTGGTTAATTGTCCGCTAAGACGGCTTTTTTGGTTGATATAGGCCATATAGATGGTGACGTCATGTTGTCATGGTAACGTGAAGAGTAGCGATTGTGAGTTAAAGTTGCTCTTTTATATAATAGGAAATAATGGTTTGTGCAAAAATTTATTTGTTTTAGATTCAACTTAAATAGATTTTAGTTTCAAAAACTGATATATATGTATTGGAAACTGTAGGGAGCCTCCTTAAATAACTTTAAATTCTGTTTAACTTAGTTCAGGATAGTAATAAACCATTAAAATTCCAACAAAGGCTTCATTTCAAAAGGTATACTTTTTTTCGGAACACCCTGTAGAATATAGTCATTATCATAATTACAACTTGTAACCTGGCGTATTCTCACCACATGCATAATTCAATCTGTAATTTCCATTTGGTAAACTTACTGTTGTTTTCTGCGGACTTAAACACCACAATGATTTCAGATGCACTGCCAGCAGCGTTCTTGGCTTTGCACTGATACTTCATAACAGATTTTGGTTGACTGTCGAGTCGTAAGAAAGATTTTTCAGACAAACTTTTCCCGCCACAGTTGGGAGTGTTACATGTATACCAGGTGAATTTTACTTCTGGAGGATTACTTCTCTTTAATGAACAATTAATTATCAGCCCTTCTTTGAATCTATATATCGTCTGCATATTAATCTCAGGTATCACTGTAAAGAAATTAATATATAATTAAAAATTATTTACAGAAGTAGAGGTAACATAAGTGCAAGGATATACACGAAACGTGAAGCGTTGTGTTATAGCATATGCCACAAAAAAACAAAAATGACCAAAAAACAACGAAAGTAGTTGTAAACAAAATAGTTAAACGCTTTTAGTCATTTTATTCATTAGAAAATTTGTCAAACACAAGCCATATGTCAATAGAAATGAATATTTGAAATTCAGGAATTTAATGGAACCAGCGATAGATGAACCAGGCGGAAATCGTAATCTTAAGATAAATATTAATGCCTCTCTCAACGTACAAGGCAGTTCGATCCCTCTACTTCTACTCTGCAGATCCATTCCTCTTTCTACTTTTGTAATATAATATCTTGTAAATAGTTGTAATTTATTCATATTTCTGTGTTTTCCGCTTTGTATGTCATTGCTCTGAAGATGTCTTAATTTAAAGACGAAACGTTAGTTTTCTGATAAATATTTTAAACCTTTTGTTATGGCTCTTTTACGAATTTTGTGCTGGACATTAATATTTATATCTTAAGATTAATGGAATCTATTTAGTAGAAACAGAAATGGTTTCAATATAACATATTTAGATTACCGTAAACTTCTAACTGAAAGGTTTCTGAGTCATGTCCATAGTCATTACTTGCATTACATTTGTAGAAGAAATTATCTGGGGGAAATTTAAGATCCTCAATTTCGAAACTTGTCTTCGTAATATTTTCTTTCCCTCCGTGAAATTCGCACTTTTTTGACGCCAAACACTGAGTGATAAACTCATATTCTTTTCCATCTTTAGATCTCCACCATGTAATGTCAGAGGCTGGGTAAGATGACACGTTGTACGATAGTGAAAAACGCATTCCTTCATTCGGATGGAAATCATTTTGTTCATTCAGTATTTGAATATCAGGTTTCAATGGGACTGCGGTGAAATGAAATATTTTAATTAGATTTTGCATGCTTGAAAGTTGATGGCTAAACTTTTTGTAATTAACACTAAAGCTATGAATCGATCGACATTAATCACTCCGCAATAACCATTGTATGCTTAATGCAAACACCAAGGAGAGCGATATGAAATACTTTGGAATTATCAGGCAATAATATTAAAACTAGACCATTCAGTATTCCTAAAATTATTAAAAGTCAATTTTTTGAAAAAGTCGTCTTTTTACCAGCAGAAATGATTCAAGTTGGGGTTTATATTATGAATTGAATAGTATCAGTGTAAATGGCTACATGGCAACTAGCAAAAAGTTTGTGCATAAGACATGATAACTTTCGGAAGAAATTTAGCCCGGCTCCTATTCGTCAGGGAAGGCCAATTACAACTCAAAATTTAGCTGGCGTCAGGGAAGGCCAACTGCAACTTTTTAAGTAGAATTGACAATTTTGGTTTAATTCCATGTAACTTCGGCGCCCTCGTGAAGGTTTTTGCGCACCCTATGATTCCTCGCAAAGGGGAGGTGCATACCCCCTGATTCCCCAACCATGCAGCACGCCACTGGTTGCCGCTCTCAAAACATTTGGGGATTAAATCCAGAAGAGTAATAAAACTTTTTTTTCTTTTTTATTCTCGCTATTTACTTTAGGCAATTAAGGTTCTTTCTACACATATTGAAATTAGAGGAAGTATAATGATGATTTTCATGAGTTTATGAAAATTTGGTATGGTAGCTATAGTGACAGAGTTGGCAAACCATTTTTCTTTCTTATTTCACATGCCAGATTAATCCATGTTCGGCGAACACTTGCAAGTGCCAATAACGTGATTGACCGTGGCAAAAAAATTCTTAATTGATATCTCACTTCGGAAGCGGCATTATGGGTTTACGCCGCAAATGCGCGTACTGGCTTTTCTGGCTCTGAGACGACCCAAATTTGTCGCATTCACGTCAGGATAAAATTCACGTATATAACGGACCAAGGAAAATTAAAAATTTAAATTAAAATAACGTTTAACAGAAAAACATAATGATTATTACCTTTCTGGAAAATATTTACCAACTCAGAGGCGCTATACTCAAGAAAGGATATTTTACACATGTAGGTCACCGCATCCTGAGCTGATAACGACTTCAACAACAACGTTTCATGTTGAATTTCGCCTACCCATTCGGAATAAGCTTCCTCCATTTCAATTAGCTCTCTATTTGAACTGATTTTGTACCATTTGATTTCATACCCATTGGTAGTGTTTTCTGCACTGCATGTTAGTTTGACCTCCTCTCCAATATCATAGAGTGCTTTATTTGGTATTTTCTTTACGATTGGTCTTGCATTAGCTATTCCTAGAAGGAGAACTCTATATCAGGTTTAACAATTAAAAATACTTTAAAAACTATTTTATAATTCATAAGGAAAAAACAAAGGAAATCACTGGCGTGTGGACAGATGGTTTCGTATTTGATAAAAATTATGTCAATTTACATAAACTTTAGCTCTAATTTTCTCGGCTCAAACCACGTTTGTCCCCGAGCCAACGGCGCGGAGCGCCGTTCCGGTCGTTACTCCGTGGCGAGGTTACTAATTCCGCACGGCTATTAAAACCCAGGGAAAGGGAAGCATTAGCGAAGTCAAAAGTTCAAAAAATATTTTAAATACAAAAACTAAACAGTTTTTGTTTTTAATATATTTTTTAATAAACTTCTTCAAACTTAGCCGTTCTGTTTGTTACATTATGAAGTCTTGTCGACTGAGCAGAGTGCTGGCATTTGTCACATATATATATACACACTTCCGAAAGTCGAAATGGAAACTCGGAAAGATCCAACAATGCAAGAAATTATCAAATTGTCAAATCGGGAAGCTCAAAATTACACATAGATTAAGGGGGAATTAGCAGTTCATAAACGAAGTATCCTGATAGGAAATTGGCATGTGATACGACCTATACTGAGAAACAAAGACGAATACACTGGACACCAAGGCATCGAAGAACATAATGGGTCAGTATTTTATATATAAACACCAGAAGAAAAATAATATCGGTTTGGGAAATGTACGGCTGCTAACAAATATAAAGTTGGCCTATTTAGGCATGTACATGCAGAATATGTTAACTGAAAAACCCAAAGTATTTTGAATCAATTAAAAACTTGAGGAAAATAATGCACCAATTGTGATTCAAAATTAAGAGCAAATTCCTTCTGAATTTTGTGTAAATTGTCCAATTTACTCTTTATAAATAAATCGAGCAAAGATATATTTGCTAAAGAAATTAAATTTGAGAAATTTTAGGCATTGTGGGTGCACTATTTCCTGAAGATTTTGAGCCAAATTAGTCGGGGATTTTTTGCAGTGATCAGTGCATTAACATGTATATAGCCTGAATATACAAAATATGCGTCAAGAAAAACATTGACAAGTAGATAATGTATACGTACTGCACTAAGACAGGCGAATTTAATATTTTCGTAATAAATAAGCATTACTTTGAGAATAAGTTTACCATGTAATATTTCAACAAACATTTGTTTTTCCTGTCCGCAAACTCTGCATATGTAAAATCCCCTATCCTTGTCTGTCAAGCCTGTTATTTTGAATATATTCTTAGAAACCACTGTTATCTTTTTATCAATAACTTGACGTTTCTCTTCAGATTGTCTGTTTTTCTTAAACCATAATGTCACATGATCGGATGTATTGACAGAACAATTAAACAACAACCATTGTCCCGGAAAACGTGATTTCTGTTCGATCTGCTGTCTTGGGATTTTCTTCCACGACACAGCTGTTTTGAAAACAAAAATCATTCATTTATTGCGCATGTATTAAATTTGCCCGGTTTAAACAAAAGAACATCAGCAGCTAGAGCGCATTGGGTGCAGGGGAACCCAGTACCCATCAAGAATCAACCCCGAAAGAGATCAGCTATTGGTGCGCTTCATCAAATGGACAAAGAGTAATATCAAGCACTCGTCTATAATTGTTCTGTTTACTTATCAATATTGTTGCAATATGCAAATTAGGAAAATGCATTAATTAAGCATGCAAAAGGCTGATTTATTAGGAAAAAATGTAAGTTTGCGTGAATAGTTAAAGGCTGAAGTAACTTGTTTGAAATTTCGTGCTGCAATGAAACACCCGACACATTTTTTACCCATTAACTCAAAATACGAGTAAAGCTATTAAATCTGGTGCGTAAGCCATTTTTAGTTTGTTGGAATAGACACCCCCCCCCCCGGTTTACAAAATTTGAGTTCGAGGCATTTTTTCATTATATTCTACATTATAAGTACCCAAAGAAGCTATATATATATATATATATATATATATATATATATATATATATATATATATATATATATATATATATATATATATATATATATATATATATATATATATATATATATATAATTGAGAGAAATTTAAAATCTATTCAATTTTTGTATGCACCCTGTATAACAATAAGTGTGTTGTATATATAATACATGCAATTTTTACAATTTATTGAAGTTGCGCACGTCATATAGATTATTTACAAAAGTGAAGAGTAATAAGGTTATGGTGAGCAGTAGATATAAATTGGAGTTAACAATTCACTATGTCGTGCGCAGTGGACAAAGTAGCATAATGCTTTCGAGTTGTCCACTGCCTACGATTTGCTACTAATGAGAACGGAGCGGCGCTAGAACGAATTCACAACTGTATATACTCTATAATTACATTTGAATTAATAGGAGAGATTGCTTATAGTGTTTCTTAAACAGATAGGATGAGCTAGATTTTTTTATTTTGTAATCTACTGATTCCCATATTTTAGATGAAGAGAATTGAAATGTGAATTTTCCATAATTAGTTCTTATTTTTGGTCTGCTAAAATTTTCTTTTGAAGCAAACCTCGTATTATAGTATTAGTTGCTCTTAATCGCATGAAATCACGAAGAATTTTGGAGACAGTATGTTGTACTTGACTTTATTCAATGTAAAAGCAAAAATACATCAATGGAAAACTTCACTGAAAATATGTAATATTTTGGTGCTTTCATCAATTTATTAACAGTTTTGTATCAATACAACTATATAACGGCAAAAAGCGATTGATGAATAATATGGCCATCAGTGAAAACAACAGGGTGTGTGAACAAACAAATGCCGTGATATAAGAATACGGATTATTTCTATTTGCTATACTCAAGAACAATTTCATATTTAGCGGTATATTGAGCAACGGCTTTATATTTTTTTTTTGTAACTGTCAAAGTTTCGAGCGATGTAGGGACGAGAAAGGTGGCTGAAGCCGTCACTTCAGAGAGAGCAAGTCCTGTTCGTAAGCATTCAGAGCAATTCCCTCTCAGCATAAAATTATCAGCTACAAAATCATGAAGAAAAAATATATTTCCGTCGATGAACACAAACACGCTCGTGAAAGAGACGCGGCTAACAGGTAGCAATCCAATGAATACACCACAACCACCCTTTCTCTAGAGCTTCATAAACAAAGTTCGTAAACACATTTTTGTTCATTCTTAAATGCGAGTCGTGGCCTTTACAGTCAGCTGTTTTGAATGCAAAACTCAAGAAACACCTCTCCCGCATCCGCCGTGTTTGTTCACAATCAAGCTATATCTATATCAGTAGCTATTTTATATAAGTGTATAAACTTTGTCTCCACGGCACTCGTAGAAAGCAGGTTATTTCATTTGTTGTATTTTTTGTTTTGTATCTTTGTAATTGTTTGTACCCTTGATGAGTTTTTTACCATGGTTAAATAACGTTTTTGAATAATCAACGATTAATTTATCAAAATTAGCATATTTTTCATTTTGAAATAACCGATCAGATTTCTCGTTCTCCGGGAGAACGAGTAAAAACGGCATGCCATGGGGTTTCATGCAGGCTCTCCTTTCTAAGAGCCGCTACGCAAGCTATATTATTCTAAATGTGCATGCATATATGCTCTACCAAGATGTTTTGTTTTTCAGTTCCAAGTACTGCAGTTTCCTCCCGCACGGAATGGAATTGACAGCGTGGATGGGAACGAATCCCAAACAAACCTATATTCATCGCAGCGGCATGTGTTCCGTGATGAGACATGAGTCACGCAGCGGCGGCCATGCCGAGTAATTGTAACAAACCATCGAGCCGATTAGGTTGCATGGCATGGCATGGCATGGCATGGCATGGCATGGCATGGCATGGCATGGCATGGCATGGCATGGCATGGCATGGCATGGCATGGCATGGCATGGCATGGCATGGCATGGCATGGCATGGCATGGCATGGCATGGCATGGCATGGCATGGCATTAACATATATACTCACTTTACTTCAAATTTTAAAATTTATAGCGATTTTACAATTTATTAACTTACACTTTGGACATGTAATATTTGCGATTATTTCCTCCATCATTAAAAACAGGATCACAGCGGTGATAATTGCACATTCTGTGAACTTCATCTTTTCAACTTTTGAAGTATTAACATTCTAATTCTAAAAAATATATAATAAAATACTTATAGCTCCTTTGTCAAACACCTGATTCTTCGTACCATGCAACCACGTATGTAGCTAGAATTCTAAATTTTTCTTTAAAAACTTTATCGTAGGAAACATTAAATTTTAACTCCGCTGTTTCGGGCGTGAGCCACGGGCGAGGGCACTAATTCCGCCAGGCTATTTACACCCGGGGAAAGGAACGCACTAGCGAAGTCTAAAGTTCATCAAATATCGCAGGCGCATGGTGTATGGGTGGTCATCTCACTGATCTCAAATTATGGCTGTTCGCCTGGAGTGAAGGAGGCAAAAGCTTGGGAAATCGTTTCACATGACAAATTGTAAAACTTTTTTTTAAATTTTTAAACGTAAACAGTAAGAATTGATTTAGAATGAGAAATCAAATAAAGTATAAGGCGAGTTTGTTTCAATTGTTTATGTATGACTAATTTGTATTTTTAAATAATTATATTATATACTTCGTTTTTGTTGTTCAAGTCTTTCCTATGCATTGTATGCGAACGTTTCTTAGTTAAATTAACTTTTGTAGAAGTTCATGATCAAACGGAAAGCAAATTATTTTCATTAGCGTCCTGTATGAATTAAATTTATTTTATTTCAAAGTGCGAGTAATAAGTTGAAGCTCGAGTTGAAGAGTTTATCGAATTATCGGCAAGAAAGAATTAATTTCGGCTCAGATTTAAAAACGTTTTACGAAGAGTTTCGTGTTGAATTATATATTAAAATAAAGCCCATAGAAAGCAAAATAATATACCTACTTTATATGTTTTAGAAATTGATAGTTCTGTATTGAAAAGTGTTCAAGTTTCATTTATTTTTTGCAGTTACAAAAAAAACAATTATCGTGTTGCCATGGCTAACATGATCACATAACGTGAGCAACGCGAACCTGCGTTACTTACGGTGAAATCATAAGCTCGCCTTAGCTTCTATCTTTTCATATATCACGAGCAGATTATTGCAACTCGAGTGAGCTGTAAATTACTAGATCGATGCTCTACCAACTGAGCTACACGGTCAGACGGATTTAAGACTGGAAATTATGAACTATATACTAAATGTCATAAACGTAGAAATATAGAATTCCGCTTACCTCAGGGCTGCTTATATGTGTTTTTGCCGAAACGTGGGGTTGGGTGAGCTAAACAAAGCAGCGGAAATACCTAATCGAATTATGGGATTGTGTGGATTACTATGTATTGTCTGCACGTACATATAATTTCCATTCTTTTATGGACCAATCCCCAATTAACCAAAATTTTGATCTCAACAAATAGACAAAATTCCATCATAGCATGAAAGAGCATCACAAAATTAGTAATATTCCAAAGTTTCGTTGCGAAATGTTGTAAAATGCGGATAATATAGCTTTGCGAAATTTGCAATTTTCAGTCATTTTGGATCACGAGCGGGAAACGGTTACCACTTCTCCAAAATTTTGATCTTAACTAGTCTAAACAAAAATTTCATCACAACTTGAAAGAGCATCACAAAATTAGTAATAATCCAAAGTTTCGTTGCGAAATATTGTAAAATACGAATAATATAGCCTTGCGAAGTTTGTAATATTCAGTCATTTTGTATTATACGCACGGAAGTGGTAACCATTTCCCGTTTGTAATCTAAAATGACAGAAAATTGCAAACTTCGCAAGGCTATATTATCGGCATTTTACAACATTTCGCAACGAAACTTTGGAATATTACTAATTTTGTGATTCTCATTCAAGCTGTGATGAAATTTTTGTCTAGAATTGTTGAGTTCAAAATGTTGGTTAATTGGGGTTAGTCGATTGAGCAAACAGTTTTAGTTTTCTTTCAAAATGCAAAAATTTTCCTCTAAACATAAATTACATCATTTTGGTCCTCCCGTATACGAAATAGCGCATTTCAAAATTTGCCAATTGATATTAAAATCTTTCTTGTTATCTTTCAATGTCCAAATATATTTCGAAAATTCAGTTTTGTTTGAGCGCTCTTTATGCTCGAAAGTATAGTTATGGTTAGCCAAAAGATCTAGTGCCTATATCACTCGTGGGATCTTTACGGATTTAAAAAGAGCAGAAAAAGTTATTTCACAACTTCTTCAACCTCTTTTGATTTAGTTCAATAGTCTCTGAGATATAGGCCCTCAAACATGGCAATTTTGACCGTTTTTTGGAAAAAAATCCGTTGTGCTTGGGGGCCTGGGACTCAGGAGAGCGAGCGCAAACAAACACTATAGATTATATTACAATTTGCCGCTACAACTTACTAAAATGATAATTTTTGCAAGAAAAATTGGTTTATTTAGCTCAAAATCGTCTTCCAGTACAGGGCAAATTAAAAGTTCATATACGATTGGGCTAAATATAAAATCGTGGTGAAACGTACAAAACGACTTCAAAATCAAATTTGAAAGTGAGGCTTCCTAAATGTCGTCAAGCATTGCCGAGGATGAAAGAGTTGGCATGCACTGAAGAATACGTTTGAAAGCTAGAAGAATATAACAGGGATGTAAAGAAATTATTTATAGATGGAACAGGCATAATCGTGTTAGTTCTTGGTAAGTGAATCGAATATTTTCTATTTGTAAATATTGTGTGATAGTCACATTTGGCGAATTAATATTCTGCGACTGCATGTAAACAAACGAAAAATTATGATTTATCATGTGTGTATTTTAGATTTAATAGCTTAACTATTGAAAAAAAACTATGGCAAGGGATAACTGGTTTGATTTGGCCATTCACAAAATATGCAGGATATTATTCTGTTTGCCTCAATTGCTTTTGATCTGATCATTTGAAAACCTGTGTTGCACAAACATGTGGTACAGTATAAGCTGATTCAAAGGAGAAGCTGTAATTTTTGAGGTCTTAACTTAATATTTTTATATACTTTGCACATATTCAGTTAGGGCCATGCTAGGTAATTACTAGCAAAGTTACTGTTTATTATGGGAATGCAATACCGCAAAAGGTTTATTACTGTAACTAGCTGTAAGAATATCTCCTATATATTCTTAATCTGTGTCTTTCGTATAAGCTGTAACAGATCACTGGTTTGCCTCGTGGAGGCAAGTAGTACATTATTAAAGTCTAAAGGTATTATTATCTGTACTTTTAGGTCTTTATATCAGTGGCATGATACATGTGATTCACCAGATTAGCTCATGGTTGTAAAAAAGAAGAAATAATACCATTGTGTTCTTCTGCTTACCTAACTATCTGCAGCTTTTAATGGGAAAGATGATAAGTTCGAAGAATATGAATATTTGGAAGATTAAAAATAAGAAATATAATTTTAAAGCATGCATGACTAACCACAAATATGATTTTTGGTATGTGTAATATTTGTGTCATTAGAAGAAATGTTATCTCTATAATAAAAAATCCCTTCTTGATCGACTTTTTCAAGTTTCCGGATATTATGTCATTAGGTGAATTGTTTTTTGTGACAATTTTCATCTAATGACGTCATATCCAGAAACTTTGACAATGAAAAATTTGATCAAGATGAAGTTTTTATATCGCACAAATTGGGGTTAGTCCAACTTTAATTAATTAATGCACGCTTGATTTTTTTGTCATTAACTTGCATTTAATAAAGTTACAGCACACATAGTGTACATGTTTTGAAAATAATATCTAGTCTATTTGTCAAAGTCATGAAAAAAGAAAATTCATGCTGCTGTGTACAAGAAAATGTTTGATTTAAAAACTACTTGATCAACAAGAAACAGCTTATAGAAGACAGGTTATACGACCTAACATACGGTCATACAGATTATGAGACCTAACCAGGCACAGTTGCGAAAAATGCAACAGCAGGTCCCTGGCAGGAATCGAACCTGCTTCCCTGCAATTCAGGTGCAGCACTCTAACTAATATATACTGGGGCAGAAAAAATATGCAAGCATTGACAGACATTATTCCTTGAATTTAAAACCGTAGTCAGCTAGAACACTATATCTTTTATGCACATGCAGATTTAGCACAAAAATACTTTGTTGGTCTGCAGGAAATTTTTGTCTCCAGGTTTTGCTCCCAGGAAGAAAATTCTTTTTTCCTGCCCTGAATGTATATATATATATAGAGAGAGGGAGTACTGCCATGTTTAGGTTATGAGTAAATATCCGAGATTTTGTTGGCTTTTCACTCGATTCAATAATAGTTGAAGGATCTTGTATAGTAGGGTCGTTAATAAATGTATATAAATTTCCACTGAATAATTTTCATCCATAGTCTATATAAGACCTTTCAAACAGTGTCAGCCCTGCAAACCAGGCTCACATAAACAGCCCATAAATCATGCGATGCTGGCCTGGATCCTTGCAGATATCATCATGGCTACAACCATCACAAGTTCAGGTTGTTTGGCAAGGGTTGGAATGTTGGGACCTTTACCATTATTAACAGCAAACCTAATTCAAGCCAAGTATTAGTCCATTGCAAGTTTGCAGCAATAAAGCTAATACAATAATTGAATCATGAAATGTATTGTGATTTTCAACAGTACAAAATAGAATCGAAAAAACTACTGCTTAACTTAATTTAGATATCTCAATAATTCAACCTGCAAAACATAAATATTCAAAGACAGCCCAAAACATGGTAATGGCAAAATACAGTGTGGCGGGTCGACATTTTATAAATACATATACTATAGAAAATATATATTTTCACTTTGATATAAAGAACTATCACGACATACTGTACATGTAACGTTCGTTTCATGTGAAAATGAATTCCTTATTTTCTTGTTATATTATTCTAACTTTCAAACGTATTCTCCGGCCTATATTTCGTCAGTGTAGCTCTAAATGCTAACATTTTCATGCTCGACGAAGCCAGATGTCACTACGAAGGAGCACTTTCAAATTTGATTTTGAAGTCGTTTTGTACGTTTCACCTTCAAATTTTATATTCAGCCCAATCGCATAGGAACTTTTCTCAGTACCAG